ATCAGACTCCACCCCAGACCTACTGAATCAGAGTCTGCATTCTAACAAGGTCCCAGGGCGTTTATCTGCACAGTGTGAAACATGAAAAATACTGCTCTAGGCTACTGATCTTCCTGCCTTCAGAAACACTATGAAGATCATTAACCCCCAAGAAGAATTTTCTTTTGGTATAGAGTATATGATATTTGCAATACTGTCTGATTTTTTGTTTGTTTTATCTGAAGGTATGGGACTTTATTGGCAACTTTCCCCATCATGGGGATAATAACAGATAACAATTATTAAACTATTTAATTATCCAAGGGCTCCCCAGGTTGCTCAGATGGTAAAGAATCTGCCTTCAATGCAGGAAACCCAGGTTCAATCCCTGGGTGGGGAGGATCCCTGGAGAGGGAGTGGCTACCCATGCTAGTATTCTTGTCTGGAGAATTCATGGACAGAGGAGGCTGGTGGGTTACAATCCACAGGGTTGCAAAGAGTCCGACATGACTGAGCGACTAACACTTTCACATTTGCCAGCATGTTAAGTGCTGGCAAAATTCGTTTTATTTTTCCACCTCCCCCTGAGTTACATTATTCCATGATCCAGAAGAGGAAACATGGAGATTCGACATAACTTGCTCAAGATGAATGCTATTAAGATTCAGAATTGGTTTTGGAGCCGGGGAGTCTGAGACCCTGGCCTGTAACTGTTGATGTCTCTTAGGCTATCTTCCCAGCTGGCACTAGTGGTAAAGAGTCTCCCTGCCTAATGCAGGAGACACAAGAGATATGGGTTCCATCTCTGGGTTGGGAAGATCCCCTAGCATAGAAAGTGGCAAGCCAGGGTCACAAAGAGTCAGACACGACTGAGAGAGTGACTTACTTACTAGTTTACTGATATGGCAAATGTATTCTCAACTTTTGATCAGTTTATTTAATATATTCATCTTGCTCCCAATGTACATCAGCATATTTAATAAAGTTTAAGAAGTAGCACATAATAAATTTTTTAATATATACTAGTCATTCTTTTAAGCATCCACATTCATTTGCTCATTTAGTTTTCACAGCAACCTTGTGAGTTTTGGATTCCAAGTTGGCTCAGTGGCAAAGAATCTGCCTGCCAATGCAGGAGATGTAGGTTCGATCCCTGAGTTGGGAATATCCTCTAGAGAAGGAAATGGCAACCCACTCCGGTATTCTTGCCTGGGAAATCCTGTGGAAAGAGGAGTCTGGCAGGCTACAGTCTGTGAGGTCACAGAGTCAAACGTGACTGAACAAGCAACAAGTGAATTTCATTGTTGTATTTACAAATGAAGAGATTTTTTTTTTAATTCCTCTTAGTGATGGGGAGAAAAAACCCTGAGTTCAAGAGGCATATGACTTGCCCAGCATCAGACAAGTTAGATATTAAAAAGTAATTAATAAAATATAGCCCTGAGCACTTGTCTCATGCATCCAACCTGGACTGACAAACGCCATCACGCTTGATAATATACATGTTTCGATGCCATACAGTAGGTCCTGGTTTTTGTCATACATTGACATGAATCAGCCATGGATTTACATGTGTTCCCCATCCTGAATCCCCCTCCCACCTCCCTCCCCATCCCATCCCTCTGCATCATCCCAGTGCACCAGGCCCGAGCACTTGTCTCATGCATCCAGCCTGGGCTGGTGATCTTTCACCCTAGATAATATACATGTTTCGATGCTGTTCTCTCGAAACATCCCACCCTCGCCTTCTCCCATGTCCTTCTGACTAGTCACCATTCCAATGTTCAGTGACTACCTGTGATTCATGGACACATTGCTGCACTGTTCATATTTTTCTTTAAAACATTGATGTAAAATGCATGCTGTTTTTACTCTGATTTATTTCAGTATTTGAGAATAATTTAATTCCATCCAAACTTGTGTTAAGAAATGATCTTAATAATTAAATATTCTGTATGGAGTTTTTACCAATGTTTAGAAAATCTCTGACCATAAGCATTCTGGTATAAATTTTCTGTATATAAACAATGTCTCGGTGGGGTCTTGCTACAGAAAATTTTGTGCCCCTACCTGATTAGATGGACACAATTGTAATGATCTCCATTATAGGATCAAATATTTTTTCCAAAAAATAGTAGCAATGGTCCCCATCAGAAGTGCTCTTTTACCATTCTGTCCAACCTCATGACATTTAGGAAATGATTTTTGCCACTTTAAGAGACAATATATCTTTTTAACCTCTAGTTTCTGTTTCTTTAATTACATGTTAGGAGAATGAATGTGTGGTGTGTGTGTTTAAAGGCCATTAGTATTATTTTCTCATGTGTTTCCTCTTTTTCATCTTGGACAAGATTTTTATATATTGAAGGAATAGATTATTTTTCCTTCAGTTATGAGGAAATGTTTCCTAGTTTGAAGACACTGAGATGATTTATGTTTTTTATGATCATGTAGTTATGTCTACCAGTATTTTCCAGTTGTTCTACCCATTCACTTTCATAATTACAAAAGGTTTTTTCTTTCCCTAAATTAAACTTTAATCTGCATTTTCCCCTGCTATTCTTTTTTCTGTATTTAATGTATCAACCCATATGGAAATTTTTTGAGAAAGGATGTAAGTGAAATGTAACTTTAATTTTTTTTAAATTATTGACTGATTCAAAGTACCTTAATATTTCATTGCAGAAGGTTTTAAATGTGTAGAATTAGGTACTTAGTCAACTTCAACCACAATTATTTTCTTATACAGTTTTAAGCTAGGTTTGTACATAAAGCCTAAATCAATCCCAAATGATGTGAGAAGTGTGAGGTTTAGAATTAACACAGTATTTCCTGTACCTGGTCAGTGATCCAGCAAGTGGGAAGGCAGGGAGGGAGGGAGAGAGCTAACGAAAAGCACATGCTGCCAATTTTTATTTCTTGTGTGGAAACATTTCTACTCTGGACTGGTGCCATATCTTTTTTTTTTTTTTTTGGTTTCTTTTCTTTCTTCCCCTGGCATAGCTTCCTTCATCTGCAGCCAGTCCTGGTAAAATCATTGTTTGCCTGGAGCAAAAAGCCACGGCAGGTGTAAACATGTGATAAGTACCTCCATAGCCTCCAGGCTTGATGTATCTAGAACCAGAATTAGTTTCCAGAGTCCCTGAGGGGACCCAGGTATTATTCCTCAGAACGTTTACCTCCTCATGTCCCCGAGGCCCAGGCTTCTCCTGACATCATCACACACACACACACACACACACACACACACACACCTCAAGCTGTCAAATACCATTGTTCAGAAATATCAGCAGCATTCTGCCAAGTGCCCACTTCTCCATTTCACACTCTCACACAAAGTGGATCCTGCAGAAATGTTTTAAAGTTCTTGGTAATTGGGCTTCTCTTTTTTCTTATGAAAGTTTTTTTTTTCCCTCTCTCTCTCTCTCCATTGTTAGAGTCAATTGGTATATTTATTTGGGAATCTGGAGGTGAGCAAGTTAAATGCCTGTTACATAGTTGTCTTAAGAGAAAGACCGTATCACTGGCATCCTAACCCTGTTGGTAATGTATAACTATTCAGCGTTCGCTTGTGCTACACACGCGTGTGCCAGAAAAACAGGACAGAGTGTGTCCCAAGGGCACATCGTCATTACATTGACAGGTGATCTTTCAATAGCACTGAAAGGGCCAGTACATTTTGGTAGCACTGCCCTTGCTGGCACCAATCTCTTCAGCCTCGGGAAGAATAGAGTCGTGTGTGGAATATCGTGCCTGCATACACGGAAGGCACAGACTTGCTCTGTCAGCGGCCACGCATTTTGCACAACTTTTCTATGAAGTGATATAAACCATTTCAAAAGCTCTTTGATGGAGTCCTATCTGATTTTATTGAGACTATAATGATGGGGGGGAAAAGCGATTTCTTGTGGTGCCATCCCTGGGGTGATGCTGCACACAGCTCTTCCAATAATTGTGGACAGCAAGAACAAGCCTGCAGCTGTGAGGGGTAATTGTCTCCTCCTCACTGCATTTATGGGGAGTCAATCTGAGAATTACTGAGATTGAACAGAACCCACGGTGACTGCAAGACTGAGGCCCATATTGATCCAGAGAGAAAAGGATGGATCTGTCAGGTCTGGGCAGAATACATCATGTTCTTGGTGGGAGAATTCTTTCTGCAGAAAAGTAAAATGATTATCCCTTCCAATGAAACACTTGAGATGAAAGTACACATACTCACAAAGGAATCTAATAGAATCTTGAACATAAAAAAGAAATTACTTTTTTGGGTTTTCATTATTATTATTAGCAGCAGTAATAGTTTCTGCTCAGGAAAACATTACAGTGAGGGTCCCTATGTCTTTTTTCTCCCCCTAGGTCTTTCTGAGTTTCCTTCAGTTTATCTGGGCATTTTTATTTTCTCATCACAGTATTCACTTTTTAAACTCTAGTTTAAAAGACTTTAGTTGAAACAGAAAAAGGCAGACACATTTGGTATATATAAAGTTGGCAGTAATTGCATTGGAAAACCCCAAAACACCCAAATCAGAACCAGCTGTAACCAAACATATATGGAAAGCAGTGCACAGAATTTTCCATGGCCTGCAGCAATGATGTTATTCAAACAATCCCCAAGGTGTCTCAGCAGCGCCATACACGGTGGAAAGAAATTAGATAATGCTAAAGACTTACCAGATGGATATTCAATCAGTACTTTGCAAAATTTCATGTAAAATTCTCTCCCTAAATTGAATATTGGAGAAATAGCTACACTGAGCTTATAAAATTAACGTCTTTGTTTTCCAGCACTCTTCCCTGACATGAATGTTTAGGGCTAAGAATCTAAGGAAAAAATGTGTGCTGCATCACTTAACAGGACACATAAAATAAGCAACAAGGATAACCCTCAAATAATTGGCCAGAAACAAATTGAAAGTAGATTATGAGAAAACGCACAAAAGAAGAGTAATTTTCAATGCCCTTGATTCCAGATTTGAAGCAACAAGATGACTTTTTAATAAGAATCAGACATTTTGTTTCAACCATTGTCTTCCTGTAGAGTATTGCAGCTTTCTAGAATGTAGTCATGATGTAGTTCTCCAGATCGAAACACCTAAAATATAGATTCCTTGTTTCAGTAAATCCCAAATTTTCTGTTTCATTTAGTCCCTTTTTAATCTAACTTCACTTTACCTGGAAAAACATACCCCCTGCTAACAACAGCCTACTCTATAATTATATAATGTGCTCTGTTCGTATGTGCCCAACATACTCTGGGCATTGTTTCCCTAGAAATGCCCTCTTTTTCCTTCAGTAGGTTCAAATTCTATCCAGTCTTTGAGGCCCTGACTATGCCCAATCTTTTCCATGGCTATTTTAAACCTCTGTGATCACCTGTCCGAAGTCTCTCATAATAGGAATGATATGGTTTCATTAAGTAGCAGGTGACTATTTTTTGGCAAGCAAGTCAGAAGGACTACCATTCATGGACATTTGTACTGGGAAAGAAAATAGATACTTGATAGATTCAAACAAGTCCAGTTGGGAGTGCTGAATAATAAATGCTACATTGAAGGACATGATTTTTTAGATATTATAGAAAATAAAAAGGATGACCATACAACCCCATTTGCTCTGTGTGGATCTTTTTTGTATCCTCTGCCATGGTATGTTATGCATTGTGTCCCCTGAATCTCAAAGATGTTGTTTCCATTTGGATGCTAAATAATATGCTTTATCAGTCCTTATTGAGCAATTATTACATGACTGGTAATATTCTGAATTCTCTATGAATTAACTTCTTTGAACTATACAACAGCCTTAGAGTTAGTAAAATTATTTTTACTTTCTAAATGAAGAAACAGAAGCCCAAGGATTATCTTTCAAACCATCACACAACTATGGAGGTTAAAGCACCTGTATAGGGCACAAACTGGAAAATTTACACTAGGTTTTTCTGAATTCTAACCTGGAATTTTTGATACTAGATGTAAAATTTATGTGAAATATTTATGAAGGGGGTTGGAAGTGCCTAGAGAATTTTCCATAGAGTTAAGCAGATCTAAATGTTGAAATAAATGACACCCAATGTTTTCTAAACAAAGGCATCTATGATACTCTCACAGGATGACCACAAATACTTGAGAAGAGAAGGGTTCAAAGCAGGAGCAGGAGTAAATCCAGCTGTTAATGAAATGGTCTCTGAGTCTTCTAGCACCAACTTGCTCGGATCCTGAATATAGAGAGTTCTTATAGATTTCCAACATCATGCAAGTACTTGGATTTATGGAAGTGTTCAGAATAGGGGAGAGATAATTAAAAACATAATTATTTTGGAAAACTTTGTCTTATGAAAAGAAATGTTAATATCCATACCCTTCTCAGTGGCTTTTAACCTAAATGAACCTAGCAGGTACTTGTAAGATATTAGCAGTGGTAGTACTACTTTAGGATGCAGTAATTGACTCCACTGAACGTACTCATGAGATGTGTGCTCAAGGCGTTCAACAAATTCATTGTGGATGATTTTGCAGTGGATTTCATACTCATTGGAAGGACTGATGCTGAAGCTGAAGCTCCAATACTTTGGCCACCATATGTGAAAAGACAGTTCATTGGAAAAGATCCTGATGCTGGGAAAGATTGAAGGCAAGGGGAGAAAGGGGCGACAGAGGATGAGATGGTTGGATGGCAACATTGACTCAATGGACATGAGTTTCAGCAAACTCCCAGAAAGAGTGAAGGACAGAGAAGCCTGGCATGCTGCAGTTCTTTGGGTGACAAAGAGTCAGACAGAACTGAGAAACTGAACAACAAGAAAATATGCCCACATCTATGGACAATCTTGCCATATCAAATGTAACTTAGAAAATTATACAAATTCAGCTTCATTTTAATGAGTAGCACATTGAGAATGAAATCATTTGTTCAAACAACAGTCTATAATACTTGATCATTTGAGGTCCCAAAACCATGACTATTTTATCTGTTTGTTCTTATCCTTGGGGCCTGTAATTTTCCAGGTCATAATCCTTACTCTGTTTACATAAAACTCTTAGTCCTTGATAATGAGTATGTTCAAAGTTTACTTTATGTGTCATCATTGCAATTCTCAGGAAGTTATGTTTTCTCTCTAGAATGGCATGCAATTTTTTGGCTGCTGGCTTTGCTTTGTGCTTTAGAAATAATCTCCATGTCTCTTTTGTTGATTTCTTGATGCTGCAAATGTAATCTTCCTACCTCCATCAGTTCAGTTCAGTTTCGCAGTCATGTCCGACTCTTTGAGTCCCCATGAATCACAGCACGCCAGACCTCCCTGTCCATCACCAACTCCTGGAGTTTGCTCAAACTCATGTCCATCGAGTTGGTGATGCCATCCAGCCATCTCATCCTCTGTCGTCCTCTTCTCCTCCTGCCCCCAATCTCTCCCAGCATCAAAGTCTTTTCCAATGAGCCAGCTCTTTGCATGAGGTGGCCAAATTGGAGTTTCAGCTTCAGCATCGGTCCTTCCAATAAACACCCAGGACTGATCTCCTTTAGGATGGACTGGTTGGATCTCCTTGCAGTCCAAGGGACTCTCAAGAGTCTTCTCCAACACCACAGTTCAAAAGCATCAATTCTTCAGGACTCAGCTTTCTTCATAGTCCAACTCTCACATCCATACATGACCACTGGAAAAACCATAGCCTTTACCAGATGGAACTTTGTTAGCAAAGTAATGTCTCTGCTTTGTAATATACTATCTAGGTTGGTCATAACTTTCCTTCCAAGGAGTAAGCATCTTTTCATTTCATGCCTGCAGTTACCATCTGCAGTGATTTTGGAGCCCAAAAAATAAAGTCTGACACTGTTTCCCTATCTATTTTCCATGAAGTGATGGAACCAGACGCCATGATCTTAGTTTTCTGACTGTTGAGCTTTAAGCCAACTTTTTCACTCTCCTCTTTCACTTTCATCAAGAGGCTTTTTAGTCCTCTTCACTTTCTGCCATAAGGTTGGTGTCATCTGCATATCTGAGGTTATTGATATTTCTCCCAGCAATTTTGATTCCAGCTTGTGCTTCTTCCAGGCCAGCATTTCTCATGATGTACTCTGCACATAAGTTAAATAAGCAAGGTGATACAGCCTTTATGTACTCCTTTTCCTATTTGGAGCCAGTCTGTTGTTCCATGTCCAGTTCTAATCTTACCTCCATAACTTATGTCTATTTCTTGATAAATTTGTGTCTTACTTCTGTATTCAAAATGGAAGTAGATTTCACAATTTGGGGCAGTAATTTACTGAAGAAGAAAAAAATTGAAAATTAATTTCCTAATGAGAAGAACATAAATGCCATTATATCGTCTGTGTAATAGTATAAACATTAAACATGTTTGCAGGAATTCAGGAACACCTATATCAATGTCATCTTAATTGACAATTACTTTCTCTTCTCCAATTCATAGTAGTTGTAAATGGACATTTATATATGTCAACTGAAGCATTCAATTTAATGGCACTTGACATTTACTGTTAAGTATCATTATGCTTACTTTTTAATACATAAAGTAACAATAATGTGCTTGCTCCTTCATCTCTAGATCAGGAAAACACTTCCTACTTATTCAGTGTGAAGATGCACACACTACTTTATATTAAACATTATTGCCAAGCCAACATCCAGTACCTCAACTGTCCTTTGGATATCACCTCTCTTTCATGGAGTATGCATATTTCAGAGAGACTGCCCCCACCCCCAACTCAGTCTCAGAGGTTTGTCCTGGTTAACCCAAGTCATTGTGGGTAATCTGATATCCTGGGCCAACACAGTTTAGCTTGATTATATCATATAGCAATTAGCATTTTTGTTTTATGCTAAGGAAGGCCATACCTTTGAGATAATTCAAGATATCCTAACCAACATAGTTGTGTCATCCTAATTTACTAATAACTCACAAATGGAATATTACAGTTTATATATTTGATATATACATACATAAATATATATTGAGATAGTGAAAGTGTTAGTCACTCAGTCTTGTCCAATTCTTTGCCACCTGGTGACTATACCTTGCCAGGATCTTCTGTCCATGGGATTCTCCAGGCAAGATTCTGAAGTGGGCAACCATTTCCTTCTCCAGGGGATCTTGCCAATCCAGGGATTGAATTCAGGTCTCCTTCATTTAGGAAGACTCTTTACCATCTGAGCCACCAGGGAAGCCTATACTGAGATATCCAAGATATAAAATCTATCTATCCATATGTATATCTGATATACATATAGCTGTTGTTGTTCAGTCGCTAAGTTGTGTCCAACTCTTCACGACCCCATGAACTGCAGCATGTCAGGTTTCCCTGTCCTTCACTAACTCCTAGAGTTCATCAAACTCAAGTCCATTGAATCAGTGATGCCATACAACCATCTCATCTTCTGTCACCCCCTTCTACTCCTGCCCTCAATTTTTCTCAGCATCAGGATCTTTTTCAACGAGTTGGCTCTTCACATCAGGTGGCCAAAAGTACTGGAGCTTCAGCATCAGTCCTTCCAGTGTGTATTCAGAGTTGACTATACATATATCTCCATCCTCAAAATGGTAGCAAGATTTTTCCTTAAACCCTACTGCTAAAGGAAGCAAAATCCATTGTATTTGCAGAAAGTTTTACACCTCATGGTAGCTGCTATGGCCGTACATTTTTCTTCAAAAGCACAATTAACTAATATAGGACTTTCCGCCTTGGGGAACTCTCTCAACATAGCACAGGAAGATGGAGCCCATATGAAAATGAGGAGTCTAAGATAACTAAACTAAATCCATCTAAGCTAAGCAGGCAGAAATCTGAGTTCAGGACTTTGGAGGTCCATGGAATTTGTGGATCCTGGACCCAGAGAAAAAGCAGCTGTGGGTGAGGCAGGAGACAGATGAGCCTCAGGCTGAACAAGTGGAGTTTTTCGCCTGAGGACAGATACTCCAAGACAAAGAGGACAATACTCCAAGACAATAGCAAGAGGGAGGAGAAACTGAGCCTTGCCCAGATAAGAGATAAAGAGACTCCTCATTCTTGGAATCAAGGAGACCTTCCTGACTATCAGTTCAGTTCAGTTCAGTCTCTCAGTCCTGTCCAACTCTTTGCCAC